CCGTCTTGTCAGTTGCAAGAGAAGTGCATAGAACGACACCAGCCATTGTACTCGCTTTTCATTGCTGTCACCAAGGCATTTGATACGGTGAACCGCGAGGCGTTGTAGCTGATGTTGGGTAAGTTTGCTTGCCCGCGTAAGTTTGTAAGTTTAATTGAATGTCCGCACAGTGGTATGCGAGCGAGGGTGCAGCTGAGTGGAGAGACGTCGGATGACTTTGCAGTTGTCTCTGGTGTGAAGCAAGGCTGTGTCTTAGCTCCTGCTCTGTTTAATATATGTCTTCATGAAATGATGTCTTGTGCTTTTGATGCGGTTTGTGCTTGCGGTGTTCGTGTGGAGCACCGCATTAGTGGTGGATTGCTCAACATCCGTCGTTTCGGTGCGAGAACTCTAGTCTGTGAGACAACTATCCACATGTTGCTGTTTGCTGACGCCTGTGCGTTGTTTTCACACAGCGCGGATGAGTTGCAACACATGACTAGTGCTCTGGCTTCGACAACGGCCAAATTCGGGCTCACCATCAACACAAGCAAAACTGTCTGTCTCTTTCAGCCTTCACCGGAGGTGTGATCTTCAATATTGCCCGAATCAGCATTGGTACTGAATATTAGAAACCACCTCCCGCTTTTGCTACCTTGAGAATGTGATGTCGACTGATCAGCAGATCCACAGTGAGCTGCGTATCCGCGTGTCGAAGGCGGCAGCGGCATTCGGGAAGCTTGAGTACCGAGTGTGGAAATGCCAACAGTTTACCGTTAGCACGAAGCTGATGGTCTACAAATTCATGGTGCTGTCCGTTCTTTTCTACCGCAGTGAAACGTAGACGATGTACCGTCGGGATGTGCGATATCTCGAGCGGTTCCATCAGCAGTGTCTGCGACGAATTTTGCGGATCGGTTGGGGCGCCAGAGTCGCAGACACGGAAGTGTTGCGCCGAAATGTAATGTATGCAGTGGACTGCATACTTTTACTGAGACACCTGAGGTGTCTGGGTCATGTGTGGCGTATGGATTCTACGCGGATACCGAATCAGCTATTATATTGTCCACGTGGTATTGGGAAGCGGCATGGGGTGAAACCAAAGTTACGTTACCAGGACATGATCAAATTTAGCGTCTCACGTTCTAATTTTGATTGCAGGTTATGGGAATCGAAAGCGGTTGTTTGGCATGCATGACACGATCTGATCACGATGACCGTTGCCGTGGTGCAGGAGAAAGACCTTATGCAGGCGGCGAAGAAGTGGCAAGTGCGGAAGCGACAAGTGCCGCTGGGGTGTATACCATCGACATCGAGCGCGGGGTGCTGTAGCACATGCGGTCGCGAGTGCCTGAGTCAAGCAGACCGAGTGAGCCATGAGCGAGGCTACTTGGGGCCACCACCGTAGGGACGGCAAGTCCTGCTGAGGACGTGGGCAGAACCGACCCAGCTTTTGTAGGTACGCTGCATTCGATTTACTAACCGCTTGCTTGCATGCTGGGTCTCTTTATTTCAGGTGGTGCGTTTGATATATTATCTCCTTATTGCCCACGTGAGGTGTGATCTAACAACTTCCACAAGTCGCTCAGGTTAATTTTTCTTGACATTGATAACATTTTCGTGTTTGTGACCTATTCTTAAAATTTAGTTTCTGACCTCTTGAACCTATCGCGGATTTGCTGGCAATTAATTTATTTCATATGTTCATTTATTAAAGAGCCATATTGGCATATCTGAACACGTTAGTCGATTTATCTTATTTGATATTGTTGTTGTTGCTTGATATCCCCGATGTGGCTGCGCTTGATGTGCACATTGACAAGGTGCCTACCTGTCTATTACCTACTAAATCGTCCATACTGGCTTCAGGAGACAGTTGGTAGTTGCTGGAGGGGACAGGGTGCACGGTTCTTGTGGCCTTGTTAGGATCAAAGCGTGGTTCCATGCACTCAGTGTGGAGCGGACTACGGTCCAGCCACCGCCTTGTGTGCACTTGATTCCCCAACTACAGCGTGCTTGTGTTTGCTTGTGAAGGTGTGGGCCGGCTCCGTTGATGAAACGTGACTCTCATCCACATGCGTCCCGGTCTTATTCCTTCTGGTTTACACTGTATAATGGGTGTGTGGCTGGATCTGTGGGTGTTGCAGTGTAGGCCACCCATGGTCCGTCTGGGGGCGCAGGCGTCCTGTGGCTGGCCACAGTGACAGGCAAGTCCGGAACCGGATGCTGCCAACCCTATAAATATATATATATGTATATATATATATATATATATATATATATATATATATATATATGCAACAGCGTACGAGTAGTCCTGGAGCCATCAAAAATCAAGGGAATCAAAGTAAGGTACAGATTTCCTTAAAATAACACAACTTGGAGAAGTCCAACGTTTTGTCAGCGTGCTGGGTACTCCCGTGTAGCCAAACCCGAAGTAGGGTGTTAACTCAAGTATCCCGCCCTGAGGCTTTGGCCGAATCGACTGCCCACAAGGCAGCGGAGCGAATTCAGGAAATCGCGCCCACTGAGATCTGGTAACTGTCCTGTTCCTACGCCTTTCGTTTGTTCGTTTGCCAAACAGGCACCCAATGCTCCCAACCGTTTCAGCATTAAGTTGTTGGAATACACTGCTTCACCGGTATGAAGCAAGGGGCAGTGACTTGGTTTGGTGGCGGGTCACATCCGCCACGTCACATTGTTTTTAAACAGACATATGTGGCTTTTTATAAGGAGAGCGTTTGTCAGATGAAAATCCACCACGTCCTGGAACACTGCCTCGAAACGATTTGCTGGAACGGTATAATCGCGAACCACCCAGCTGGCACCATGATGAGGTTGTTCGGCAAGGCAGCCCACTCCAACCTTCACTTCCAATGTGGCGGACTTGAACTTAAGTGCCATGAGGCGAGGTCTTGGTGCCTTTGAGCATCTGCTAGTACCCCTACTGTTTGACTCCTATAATTGTCCTTACTTTAGTTGTGCGGTACAGGTCTGGCGTCCATGGTTAGAAAGAGACATTGGTTTCTTGGAGCAGCCTAAAAAAGAACCGCTTAGGCAACCTGTTATCTATCCGGTATCAGATACGAACTACGTCTTCCAATACTTTGCATGTTATGCTCAGAATACCGACAGCTTAGCAGTCGCATTCCTACCTACCGGATAGTTATAGGAAACCAGCATCCATATAAATCCCTACTGACCATATCCCCCTACAACTAACGCCGAGGCCACCACGGTTTGGGATTGTAGCATTTTTGCACTATTAGAATCTACTCACACCGGAATACACTGCCAACACATGAAGTGAACGCACCAAACATCGCGACATTCGAAAAACTGATGCATTCTCAAATAAGTGCTGAAAGCTACACTAAAGTATATTAGCGTGCAATGTCTAAGCTACTGGTAATTCACTTTCTACGCCGACACAGTTTGATTTCAAAATTATTTCGCGGTTGCCGTCATGTAGAACTGTTAAAGTTGTACCTTTTATCCATTCCTGCACTATTGGACTACTGTACTTATATAATGCTATTACTTGAAGGTTGCTGGCACCGTTACTTTTCGCTGCAGTTGCTTACCGAATCTTTGTATCACAAAACTGCAGCTACAGTAAAAAGCAGTGGGAGCGTGTCAGGCAAGGCCGGTACTGTCCGATCATTAGAGGTAGTGTGTGATGTTTTCTGAAAACTAGTGCTAGTCTAGAATGAGCCAATTCACCTACTTATATCAGTGATGTTTAAATCGTGACTCGTTACAAAAACAGGCTACACACTAAGATAAATGATACTAATAATAGGGTACAGGTAATAATGCTATATACAAGGATGACTTATCCTATAATTTGCATAATGGCTGTGAGTCCATTTCAGATTGCGCTGCGGTTGCGACATGACTGCATGGGACCATGAGCACGTGGACGGAAGCATACACGTCCGTTGTCCGGTCGTTCCCGTTGTGTTGTATTGTGGCTTGATGCGACAAAGAGAGTGGATGCAAGATAAAGTGCATTCTCAATCGCCTATGGTTTTCATGTGTTTTGATGCGCCAGTGTGCAGAGGATAAAAACTATTTTGACGTCGACGTGGATCACGTGGTGTATACCACTGGTGTGATTAGGCTTTGTCATGTAGGTTAAATGAAAATTACAGTTCCACAAAAATGAGTGTTGGGCGAATGTTTTAAACGAACTGGTGAACGCGAACCATTTGCAGTTTCATGTTTTCGCGACAATGGATTTTATTCTTGTTTCTATCTTCTAACCGTCCAGTTGTTTTACTGATGGTACTCTGCATTCACTTTTGATTTCCCTGTAGGTCGTGCGATTCATCTCTCCGGGATTCGCTAATTGACTTCCAGTTCTTTGTAGCTCGTACAACACATGTTGGGTTCAGCAATGTTCACCTCCCAATACTCGATATCCGTGGTTGGTCTTACTGGTAATTGTCCCTACCAGTAACTGAGTTCGGCTCTACAGACATAACACTTACAGCGCGCTTTTCGGCTGCCTTAACTCCGTGAAACCATTGTTTCGCATCATTGCAATGACCGAGCACAATTCGTTCATACTCCATGGGTGTACAGCTAGTTTACACGTGTGTCTCCTCATCGAAAAATGTAGTAGGTGTCATTTCTTCGAGTACTGATATACCGAAACATTGTTATTAGTTTTTGGAAACATCAACCTTCTGTTATATTGCAACTCCATTTAGTGCGAACAAACTTGAAAAGTGGCGGCTAGATGGATTTTACCATCATTTTTGTACTTAAACACTGTATACGATTTACGAACACCCCAACTGTTGCACTGTTTAAGCCTAATCTCACTCAAATCATAAGCCTACAGCTATGAATGTGATAGTGCATCACAGCCTTTGATCCTACTTTATTCGTTTGCTCAAATGTGCTTTTAGCGTTTTACACCGGCCTACAATCTATCTGGTGAGCGTTATTTTCCTTCTGGTTGCACTCACTTCCTTCTTGCGCAAATGCCTGTATTTATTGGTCTTTGCTTCCAGTGCAATAGATCCCCGGGCCGTCGTTGAATGGATCTATCCGTTGAGAGATACATTGAAGCTGCTCAATTTGGGGCACAAAAGGTGAAATTTCCCTCCTGTTTTGCACTCTTATTGTCTTGTCCAGTCACACTCCACACCTCGCATGGCTTTGCGGTTAGTTGCCCATGTCCCACTGAAGTAACCTCGCTTTTTTATATGTTTCGATTGGAAATTCGGCAATGGAAATAGAGATTCTTTAGGAAAACACATTATTTCCCACTCCACTTGCATAACAGCCAAGAATGACATGAGTGCTCACACAGCGTGTCAATAGTTTCTTGCAGGTCAATGAAATATACTTGTTTTCGCGAACACCAGTCTGAGGGAAACAGTTATTTGCAATGATTCATCTAGCGGCCGGTAGAAGTAATATAAATTAAAAGTACAGTGGAATGCATGGTGATTGGTTCGAAGGCTTGTTCTGAAATAAGCAGGTCCATGGTTAGACTGCAAATAGTTGGCCACTGTCTTATTTACACAGATCGATTGAAGGTTACGTAATCACAACGCCTGAGCTGAGGTCAGGGTGACGGCTAGGTAGATGGCTATTCGGCCAGGGCGGATAGAGAGACTGAAAAGTCATTTTGTGAGCACAGCCGGGGTTGGAACATTCGGATCGCAATAGCCTCGACAGTGGCGAGCATTCGTAACCGCGAATGTTTTCATTTGCTCGTAATAAACCTGCTAAATAGAGTGCTTCAGATCCCATATTAAACGGCAGGACTAATGAGGCCGGATATAATAAACATTCGTCGCTCCTCTGTAGGTCTGATAACGTTGCCATCTAACTTCGGTGGATATATGGATTTTGAACCTACAGTTAAGTAAATGCTGAGTTGTCTTCTAGGCGATTAAAGTAATATTGTTAAAAAAGTGGACGCATAGTGATTTGTCTATTCCCCTATTCTCTTATATGAGGATTCCATTATGAGTTCAATATTTGGGTACTTTTGTATATCCAAAACCTGACTTCGTAAACATTTCTGAAAAGAACTGCGATAAGTTACCAACAATCTTAAATGCGTACCTCCTACTATCTGGCCGGTATCGTCCAGTCCTACAGGGAAAAGTCTTACGTCATCTCAAATATACCAGGCATCATATTTATCATTGGAACATAGGACTTCCTGTGCACCTTCGTATCCTAGCTATGTCTAGTTGATCTTGCTAAATTGTACGGAACTTTAGTCGTCTGCATTTTTTACTTTACTTACCACAGCGGGCTCCAGGGTTAAGTTTACTTCTTAGGCAAAACTAGGGAGACTAAGCTGCGGACCAGAAGTGCTTCAGCGCCGCTCAGCTTAACGGACGCTGGAGCTGGATTATCCTGTGGTCTATCAACATCATTCGACTTCGGCAGAATGTCTACGGAGAATTACGTTATCATATTTGGTGGAGTTTAAGCATCCCTGCCGGCTCGCGCAAACAAGCCTGTTTTGCCGACAACCTTTAGGTTGTGCAGTTCAGAATTGCGGATTGTGTGATATGATACGAGTTGCGATTTTAGTGCCAAAGAGTAAAATGAGCCTACAGAAAGGTCAGTAATCTTATACCGATAAAATGCTATAATCGCTAGCGGAAAGAACTGCAAACTTCGCGTGACACTTGTGTGAAGATTTAACGGATTTCATCTTAATGCCAAACCTTCCTTACCGGCCCACTAGCTCTACAGTTCAAGGATTACTACGGATACAGTCCAACCCGCTATGGCGGCCACTTCAGGCGATCACTTGTCTATGGCGAACAGTCAATGACATCCCCCAACGTTTTCTTTTATGAGTAATGTCCCTATGCATGAACCTGGCTATAACGACCACTCACCCAATACGACCACATTTTGTCAGTCCCTTGAGTGGTCGCTCTAGACAGGTTTGACCGTATTATGGGACTGAAGTAAACCGGGGAAAGCTTCAGGCTTTCGTGTTTTGTCCCAATTCAGTTACGAAGGTAACATCAACTCAGAGCTAACCGAGTACCTCAGTGGCTGTTTTGCTTATGCTATCACAGTAGTAAGTGTACACAGGACTGCCGACTAAAATTGTCTGAATGCCTTACTCTTCATCCCATTTTGAGTACTTCTTAAAAGATTAAGCATCATCAAAATGCCATAGCACTGTATTTATTTCCTGGGCACAGGTTTTAACAGTTTGGGTCCACACATGTTGGATGATCGTGATATTTCCGAGACTTACACGGGCCATTATTATGATAAGTAGTTCACTATTCCGTCTTTATTTGCGCCTAATCTAGTCCTGTTAACTTCGCATTCTCATGCATTATTTTAGTGCTAGCCTCCTCCATGTGAAGCATTTATGGACTTGAGTTGATGTATCAGGCATACTACTTGTAGTTCTACTGCCTGAACGACATTGAACTAACCTGCATTCTAGTCGCTCATCTGTGAACACGTTTTGCCACCGTTCTCATTTGCTTTTTGTCACACAAACGTGTGTACACACTCATTCGACTCCGATTCATCAGCGCTATCTACGTCTATAGTGCACTCCATCTTTCGAATCTAGCTTGTGTGGATCGCCCTTTATCTCCACATTGCGGTTTTTGCGCCATTCCCGCAAAAACACAATCGGGGATTTTTCCAAATTACGAACCACACAGAAATATTTATGGTCACAAACGAAAACCAACTTCACGTTTCATGTGACGAATCAGCAACCACAGTTGTGGACCGTTCATCAAATTATCTATCGTACATTTTGTATCCGTATCGTTCAGTCGCTCTGTTTGCCGTGTGAGCGATCTAGCCGCTTGAACCTTCCCCGCTTGGGCCGGACACAGAAAGTGACGATCATGAAGATGCAGGCCATTCAGCACACACGCGACCTGCAGAAAATCATAAGCGCTCGGACCTCTATGGGAATGCTATCGATCGATGCAATTGATTGTGGCGACCAGTCAAAAGTCCATGTTACGGCATCCAGATCGACAGTAGTTTGTAGCCTTCCTTCGTGCCTTAAGAATGTAGCAATAGGAACCCAGTGTAGCAGTTGCCAAGGCAAGTTCCATCGCAAATGTTCCAAGCTCACAATGAAGCAGTTGAAGCTATACAATAGTAAACCAGATTCACTGTGGTTTTGTTCAGTATGTATAGTCATCCCACTGGTAAAGATTGTATGTGAACTATCGCAGAATTACGAAAGACTAATGGCAGTGAGTGAACAAATGAGGAGCACCAGAAGCGGTTCCTTTGCAGAAAGTGTGACAGAGAGTAAATCCCAGTCATCTCCATCAGGCCCCAGATTAAAACTGAGGAAGAAGGGTAGGGACTGCGCTAAAAGTACATCCTCTATGGCATTCAACGTCAATACTACCAGTTGCTAAAATATACCTGAAACAACCACCGCCAGTCCGATAGCAATGAGCACGCTCAGGGCTTCGTTCACCCTCCAAACGGTTCCGGAAATGCAACACTACCGGTGATTGGAACTTGGTTCTTGCCAAAGGTGACCGAAAACTTAGATCTTCAACAATTCCCACTGGACCCATAGTAAATGAAGAAGACGAAGCTGCACCCAAACAGCCTTCATCGACTGTAAACAGACCAGCTGGTCGTTTGATCTCAATCAGAGTTGCACGTAGTATACCAGCGGTAATCAGCACCAACGTTCCAGAATCGAGGTCAAATTCCTTAAAAGGAAAGCAACTCGATGAGGTGAATCGGTGGAACTCCATACATGACACTATAGGTGTTGTATGTAAGTCCGTAAATTTGACACGCGTTACCCTTCACCCACCATCGCAATGAGGCTGGACCTTACCGTGGTGCGATGGTTTGTGTGCCTCAGCGATCCATTGAGCTACGCTGGGTGGTGCTTTTGCACCTTCAGAGTCACTCATACCAGATTGGTCAGTGGTTAGAGGCCAGACAAACTCAGCCTCCTGGTCCTCCAGGTTGGGGGTTGGAATGAGGGTGGCACCTTATTCCTTAAAATGGACTCCTTGTAGCCCAACGCCAAACCCGCTGCCTTGCGGTCAGGTTTTTGAACCAAAGGCTTTGGTTGAGAATCCTAATCGTTCTCCTGTCTAGGCCTGGGCAACCTGACAGTATACTGCCCACGCAATACTATGAATTTTCCTTCAAACAATTTCTTGATGCTCTGGCCACCGCAGAGGATAATAAATGGTGCTTTATCTGCTACATCGAGCAGGGTGGATAGGGGTTTGGATGCTACTGCTCAAGCCTTCCCGTCTTCTTATTCCCCCTCTTACGCTTTTTCACTCTTACCGTCCCCTTCCAACTTCACTTATATCCCCCCAGTTTTCAACCCTGCGATTCTTGGCCCTCCCCCAACATGCTTTGCTAGGCATTTACCTTCTAGTTTCAACTCACACGTGAACGCGGAGCGTCACTCCTCTGCTGTCGACAAGCCCATGTCCAACCAAGCGGGCCATTCCAGTTCATCGGCTTCCATTTGGAGCCCTCGATCCTCCTTCAGATTGGCATGCCTCAATGTATGCACACTGCTACAAATCGGTCAACAGGCAGCACTTGCCCGAACATTGGAGACCCTCTCGATCGATATCTGCTGCTTATCAGAGACTCACCTGCATGACTCGAGCACTGTGCTCACTCTGCGATCCCCTTCAGGGGACGCAAGCAGTATTTTCTCCTTGCGCCTATCCGGTGACGATGCAGCTTCGAGCACCGGCCAAGCCGGTGTTGGTATTGCCCTGAGTCCCCGGGCTGAAGCTGCTCTGGTTGATTGGATTCCAATCAGTAGCCGGATGTGTGCGGTCCGATTGGCTGGCTCGTTTAAAGCTTCGAAGTCGCGCGGGACTAATAGATGTCTATTCATCATCGCTGCCTATGCGCCCACAAACTGTAGCGATGATTCGGTAAAGAACGACTTCTACCGCCAACTGACCCAGCTCCTTCGCCACAGAAGAAGCACGGACACTGTTGTGCTGGCGGGGGATCTGAACGCACAAGTTGGAAAGTTGTCCACTGATGAACTGCATCTGGGCGGTCAACACGGTGTAGGCTCCCGTAATGATAACCTTGAGCGGTTACTTCATTTGTGTGA